ATTTAAACAATTAAGCTGAACATATGCTCTGTATCCCTTTCTGTGACTCACTTTCTGTCTCTTATTTGTCTATCGATCTGTTTGCCTCTATGATGTGTCTGTCTGTTTCTCCCTCTGCCTGTTTAAGTCTCTGTTTGTCTCTTTTGTCCTGTCTTTGAATGTTCGTTCCTTTGAACAAATGTTTATCATGTTAATTTTTTTTTATAAAATGTTTAACAAAACTTTAATTTACAGAATACACTGCACAAGTGAAGAAAACCATTTTAACAAACCTTAACATAACTGCCATGTTATTCACTGAAGAAAGTGCAGAAGTGAAGAAAAAACATCTATTCCATGGTTCCCATCATTTTCAAGTGGGTTCACTTGTTGAATAATGTTCATTGTGGTCTCATTAATAGTTACATCTATGTCTGGAATTACAACATTATTATTGGTTTGAAGTTCAGGTAATGGGCCTTCTTCATCAATGCCATAGTAGTTATCGGCATCAAAAATGCTGTTTATAGCTGGATGGATTCCTGCATTATTAATGACACCTGAATGCCACAGCTGAAGAGGTGTCTGCCCCCCTTGTGTGGAGAGGCCATGGTTGTTCCATTGATTGATGAATTCTGTTACTGCTCTTTCAATCCTTGGTAAATAAACATAATGCAGACAGAATAAATGTAGTTCATTCAATGAATCCAGTACACCCTGTTCCTCCATGAAGTTAAAGATGTTTATAAAGTGTCTAGATACAACTCTATTGAGTTCTGCCCATAGTCTCTCAATCCTTTGGTTGTGTACTGATACACCTGTAATAACACTGTTCAATCCTCTTCTTTCCAACATAAAACGGGCAACATTTATATTTTCCATACCATGATCACATCTGACCCTTAAGGGCAAGCCAAAGTTCTGTACTCCTCCTAGAAATAATGACAGGACGGTTGAGGCTCTGTTGTTGGACAAGCACCGTAAGTATATAATAGTCCGGCTGAAGCCATCCACACAGCCATGAAAGACCATCCGCCAACCTGGACAGGGTCTCTGGTTCCATCAAAATGCCTGTTGGGAAGACAATCGTAATAACTCTAAAACAACTATACTAGGTATGTGTATACATATTGTGTTGATGCGGGCCCCACCCCAGGCCATACCACCAACACAACCACAACACAAATAATATGTTACTGTTAATTCTTCTAGCATAACAAGACACACATAAACAAGAGGGGCCTGAACACTATAGACTCTTCGATGTATAGCAAGACGACGTCTAAATGATCGCCCAATAGGATCCACTTGGTGCAGGCTCTGTCTGACCCGCCAGCGCTGAATCCTCAAGCCACGTGATCTCAGGCTTCCAAGTATGTATGCTTCACCTGCATTTGGAGTGTTCTGTAGTATATTAGTTACAACTCTGTCCAGGTCTTGATTTGACAATACAGAATACCTTAATGGCTCAACTCCCAGTCTTTGTCTGTGTCTGTATAGTGTTCTTCGACTAATTCCAAAGCATGATGCAATTCTCTGCCATGACATACCGATGGACACACAGTGAGAAATCTGCTCAGTAGCTATGCTGTATCTGGGCCGTCCTGGATGGCCAGTCGAGGTTGTTGGAGGTGTCAAATTTGTGGTCACTTCAGTGGATCTCTGTCTGGCCTCATGTTCATGCAGCAAGTTGCGAAAGCAGCTATACAATGATCCTAGAAGGTTACTGACATCCCTATCATCACACACAGCAAGAAATGCAGATAGAGTTTGAGTATGCTCATTAAGCTCTCTATAAAGCCTCTCCTGGTGGAAATCGTCAGACTCCTCTCTTTGCAGCCTCTCAATGCATTGTAGAGAACTAGTAAAAAAAACGACAACATCCTCCTCATTGCCTCTCACTTCAAAAAATAAAGCTTGGACTTGAAAAACGAAGAATATCAGATGAACATACATTTTGTTTGAAGCAAGG